CAACTTGTTGCTATTTAGAACAATGTATTTCTAACAAGGTATTGATGAGACACTGGATCTGTCTCTAGTTATAATACATACCATAAATATCTGGCATGACAATTAAATAGAGAATACCACATAATGCTTAATTCAAAGATTATATGTTTAAAATAAACAGTTGACGTGCCTTTGCATGTGTTTGGTGCACTTTATACGTTCGCTGTTTGCGAATACCTACAGTGTGGTCTTATTCTTTTCTTCACGGATTTCGAGTTATTAATTGTTTTTGTTGTTATTTAAGACAATGTTATTTTAATGTCAGTTTACATATAATCCATTCCGAAAACACCAAAGACAGACAATTTCAATCACGTCAGAATTTTCTTTAGAAGATATATTTTTTAATCAGAATAAAGCAAGTCTACCTAGGACGTATGTAACTATTAACTGTTCCGTTCGACGGGGGCTTCCTGTAATAAGAATTCAAGTCAGGTTAACCGAGAGAGAGGGCAATAATTACTAATAAAGAAACCCTTCATACTGACGTGTGTTTCCGATTAACTCCGAATGAAGCTGGCCGTATTATAGTCGTGTCTCGAGGGTGATGCACCCAAACATCTCAGGCTGTGGGATGAGGGATAGAGAGGAACTGTTGCCTGGCAACCAGAGCAACAGCGTGATGTCGTATGTTGGGTGTTGGTGTTTCGTGTTGAAAACAAAATTTCAGTAACGGCTATTAATAACGTGTTTAGTTTAGTGTATTATATAAAAAGAGCATATCCGTTATGTTATGGAGCGGTGGGGTAGCCCAGTGGTTAAAGCGTTCGCTCGTTACGCCAAAGACCCGGGTTCGATTTCCCACATGGGTACAATGCCTATTTCTAGTGTCACCCACCTCGATATTGATGGACTATTGCTAAAAGCGACGTTAAACTACGGATGCTTCCTAAAACTCAGGGATGTTTAGAGAGTCCCAACGTTACCCTTGGCGTCCGACGTTATTTGAACTGTGAATGTTAACAATATAGGGGGCGGTGGGGTAGCCTAGTGGTTAAAGCGTTGGCTCGTCACGCCGAAGACCCGGGTTCGATTTCCCATATGGGTACAATGTGTCAAGCCCATTTCTGGTGTCCCCCGCCGTGATATTGCTGGAATATTGCTAAAAGCGGCGTAAAACTAAACTCAGTCAGTCAGTCGGTCAGTCAGTGAACAATATATGGTGTCCGTCCCGACCGCATGTGAATATCTGTAACGACTGTCTGGGAAAAACTTTGTATTTACTCACTGTAAATACAAACAACCTATACTATTTGTTACTGTCTGGGAATAAAGCCGAATACGTTATCTGTACCAACTGTCTATGAGTATAAACAGCCTACCTTACTTATGAAATACACAATTCCATCTTCCAATATAACCGCCTACACTATTCGTATTGACTGTCTGTGAATACAAACAACCCCTGTTATCTACTTCAACTGTCTGTGAATATAGACCAACTTACATTATTCGTACCCACTTTCTCTAAATATACTCTCCCAAAAAAGAAACGCATCATGAAAATAGCAATTTCATGTAGCAATGAATAAACAAGATTCATTTGACAAAAGGTTTTGATCTGTTTATGAGTCCTATAGTGTTTATGTTTTGAAACATCACGGCAAATCACACCATCCTTTAAATACCCGTATTTAACAGCATGATTTTCAATTTCGGCGTGTAGTGTCACAGAATACACAATTCACATGCAATGCACGTGAAAGTTGGGGATCAGATAGTCTCAATGATGATAAAAGGTTGATCGTTGTCTGTCGATTATTCACTGTATTTGGAATATTGTTGACGAACGCAAAATGCCAACCGTCATATCGCCATTGGTTTGCTTGAAGCTGGCCAGTCTCAACGTGCAGTTGCCCCACGCATGAATGTTCACCAAAGCACCATTTCACGGCTCTGGGAGAGATATCGCCGGCAGAATTCGGTAGCATATGCCCCTCGTAGTGGGCGACCTCGAGCGACCACTGCGGCGCAGGATCGCTACATCCGGGTACATCACCTGCGTCATCGAACAGCTACGGCGACCAGTACCGCTCGACAAATACCCGGATTGAGGAGGCTTTCTGCACAGACCGTCAGGAACAGGTTGAGAGAGGCTGGTTAACGTGCCAGAAGACCTTATTTTGACCCTGTGCTTCGACAACAACATCGTCGACATCGAGTTCAATGGTGCGCCAACGTTCAGGCCTGGAAAATACCGAATTGGCGTAGAATCTGGTTCAGTGATGAATCACGATTTCTATTGGAACGACGCGATGGAAGAATGCGCATGTACAGACGTCGACATGAACGTTTCGCCGACGCTTGCGTTCCCCAGGTGGATAGATTCGGCCGGGAAAGTGTTGTGATGTGGGTAGCAATCACCTGCCGTAGGAGAAGTGATTTGGTGATCATCCAGGGCAACCTGACAGCTCAACGGTACTGTGACGAAATCCTACGCTCACACCTCCTTCCAATCAATGATCGCCAGAGGGAGTTGTTTCAACAGGACAATGCCAGGACCCACACAGCACGTCACACCAGAGACTTCCTCCAGAACCACAACTCCAATGTGCTCCCCTGGTCCTCAAGATCACCGGACTTAAACCCGATTGAACATCTGTGGGATGCCCTGGACAGACGGGTGCGACGCCGTAACCCTCAGCCCCAGACAGTTCAGCAACTCGCACAGGCACTACAGGCAGAGTGGGCTGCGATTGGGCAACACGAGATTCTGAGACTTATTCGTACGATGCCGAGGCGATGCCGTGCAGTTCTGGATGCCCACGGTGGTCACACGAGGTATTGACTTTAGCGCCACCACACGTCTCCATGTGAAACTCAAACTGACTTCCCTCGAGTTGGTGCCAAAGACGGATGAGTCTGCATTCCCAGTGTGAAATTTCGCTATATTTCATTGACTCATAAAGCCTACAAGATGCTTTAAAATAAACATAAAAGTACAGTTGAAATTCCTATGTGCGTTTCTTTTTTGAGAGAGTATATATACAGCCTATATCATCTCTACCGACTGACTGTGAACAAAACCGCCTACATTATCTGTACCGACTATCTCTAAATATAAACAGCCCATGTATTCTGTACCGACTGTCTGTGAACAAACCCGCCTGCATTATCTGTACCGACTATCTCTAAATATAAACAGCCCATGTTTTCTGTACCGACAGTCTCTGAATATAAACAGCCCATGTTATCTGTACGGACTGTCTGTGAACAAACCCGCCTGCATTATCTGTACCGACTATCTCTAAATGTAAACAACCCATGTTATCTGTACGGACTGTCTGTGAACAAACCTGCCTACATTATCTGCACCAACTATTTCTAAATATAAACAGCCCATGTTTTCTGTACCGACTGTCTGTGAACAAACCCGCCTACATTATCTGTACCGACTATATCTAAATATAAACAGCCCATGTTATCTGTACCGACTGTCTGTGAACAAACCTGCCTACATTACCTGCACCGACTATTTCTAAATATAAACAGCCCATGTTATCTGTACCGACTGTCTGTGAACAAACCTGCCTACATTATCTGTACCGACTATCTCTAAATATAAACAGCCCATGTTTTCTGTACCGACTGTCTGTGAACAAACCCGCCTACATCATCTGTATCGGGGCGGTGGGGTAGCCTAGTGGTTAAAGCGTTGGTTCGTCACGCCGAAGACCCGGGTTCGAATCCCCACATGGGTAAAATGTGTGAAGCCCATTTCTGGTGTCCTCGCCGTGATGTAGCTGGAATATTGCTAAAAGCGGCGTAAAACCAAACTCAGTCAGTCAAACATCATCTGCATCGACTATCTCTAAATATGAACAGCCCATGGTATCTGTACCGACTGTCTTTGAACAAACCCGCCTACATTATCTGTACGGACAATCTCTACATATAAACAGCACATGTTTTCTGTACCGACTGTCTCTACATATAAGCAGCCCATGTTATCTGTACCGACTGTCTTTGAACAAACCCGCCTACATTATCTGTACCGACTATCTCTACATATAAACAGCACATGTTTTCTGTACCAACTGTCTCTGAATATAAACAGCCCATGTTATCTGTACCGACTGTCTTTGAACAAACCCGCCTACATTATCTGTACCGACTATCTCTACATATAAACAGCACATGTTTTCTGTACCAACTGTCTCTGAATATAAACAGCCCATGTTATCTGTACCGACTGTCTTTGAACAAACCCGCCTACATTATCTGTACCGACTATCTCTACATATAAACAGCCCATGTTTTCTGTACCGACAGTCTCTGAATATAAACAGCCCATGTTATCTGTACCGACTGTCTGTGAACAAAACCGCCTACATTATCTGCACCGACTATATCTGAATATAAACAGCACATGTTATCTGTACCGACTGGCTATGAATAAAACCGCGTACATTATCTGTAACGACTGTCTGTAGATATAAACCGTTTACATTACTTTCACAGTATCAAACATGTAATGTGTCATGTTCTAAACGATGTATGTACGTTTTTGATAAATGAATATAACAGAGATTTACCTTCCTTTAAACCCGGCAGAATGGCCTACTCATCACCTGACCGACAGATGATGTTTTGCATCCTCTCAAAAACTTATCATAGACCATTCTTCAATTTTCGGCACTGATCAAGAATCTAATTCCAACACGTTTCTTCAAATGACCATGTGCCATTACGACATTCAAACAAGATCTCCCGAGAGACACGCGTGATTCAGCGAGATCAGACACGGTCACGTGGTGTCCATTAATTGTACAAATAATGGCGCGATCTGCTCCGCAACTGTCTGAAAGGCGATGCCATTTCCGGTCCGAGACCATCGTTATTTCCGTTTCATTTCGTTCAGTCTGTGCGTGCATAGTGCTAGTGTTCTGACAATGTAGGTCAGAGCTGGGACAACAAGGTCAGGTGGGGTCAGGAAGTACGGTTATTGAACTTATACATCGACATGTATATTTCTTCATTCATTCACTCATAAAACCCAGGAAGTTTCATTTCCTAAAGGTATCTCAGTGGTAGCAGTCAAATAACCAAACCTTTCGTTACATACCCCTCTCTCGTCACCATTCCACCATTCCACCATTACACAAGTCCTCGCCCACACACGCACGCACGCACGCAGGCACACAACTACATATATAATGATCCATCTGCTTTTGGATATGGGCTAATTATGACACTGCACTAAAAATTCCAAAAGGGTATATACGTCTTCGCAGTTAATGTCCCCTACACTCGTTGCCAATGTACAATAAACGGGTCGGTGGGGTAGCCTAGTGGTTAAAGCGTTCGCTCGTCACGCCGAAGACCCGGGTTCGAATCCCCACATGGGTACAATGTGTGAAGCCCATTTCTGGTGTCCCCCCGCCGTGATATTGCTGGAATATTGCTAAAAGCGGCGTAAAACCAAACTCAGTCAGTCAGTACAATAAACATCAAAACTTTTAAAGCTTTGCCTAAAATTTCACATGTATTGTGTCATAAGCTAATGTATAACCATAGGCGTATCAAAAAACAAATAAAATTATTAAAATTTGTACTTGAGTAAAATAGAAATAGAAGATGTATCCACGAGCGAATACGGGTAGTGTAGTTACATTGTTACACAAGAGGCTTCATTATTGAGATGCAATATACATACTTCCTGCTCCAGGGTGAGCGGAGGCAATGACGAGAAAATCAATCGTCTTACAAGACACTGACAGACTGATGAGTTTCATGAGATTTTTGAGAAGGTGAAATAGATTTTAACGGCGATTTCAAGATCACTTCTCCTTGTCCTAGTTCAAAGCTATGTCCGTTTTTTAAGGTTGCCCACTGTGATTCCAAGCCGAAGGTTTATGATATTAGTACACGCAGACACCGAGACATCTTTTAAAGTTTTCGGGTTTGACCCCACCCTGGATCGAACAACTAGCGCTCTCTTTGCAGACGCACTCTCCATTACACCGGTACACCACAGAGGGGAGACAAGAAGATAACTTGTTCACTCGGTCCAAATACTATAGGTTATCATTTTGTACAACAGTCTGGGTGCAGGCGTGATTGATGTGTTAATGCTGCTTACATCTAATTTATGTTTACCATTAAGTGTTGTCCGAACTGCGGGTGTATGTGATGTGATAATTCGGAAAGCAGTTTCCAGTAATAGTAATAGTAATAGTCCATTTGTAATGTGCATGCCCGAAGCGCCCAATATTCAAACTCACACATCACAGGATTAAAATAAGTTCATTTGATACACTTCAATGTGTATTGTAGGCTTTTTGGAACAGATATGTTTTCAGATATGATCTGAATGCTGAGTATGATGGTGCAGTTAAGAGAGTGTGGGGAAGGCTGTTCCATTCCGTGGCTGAATAGAACACAAAGGATCTTTGACCAAACCTGATGGTTCTGACTCTGGGGGTTCACACAAACTGTTCTGTGAAGCGGATGATCGATCTGGTCAATGTCCAGTGAACATTTGCGCAAAACTATATCAGCCCTCATAAAATAGGCATTGTCCATTTAGCGATTCCGACCAGAAAACGAGCAAATCAGTGTTTATGAATCTCTCTCAAACAGCGAAACCCAACTGGGAACCGTTTTAATCATAAGAATGCGTGCCAAAACGTTGTTCTAAGTGTTATATTGTGGACTAAACCGAGTGGGTCTGAATGGGATTACGATGTTACTAGGATTACACAGAAATGTATTGAAGCTCATAAACTCACCCTCCAGCGAAACACGAACAATCGGGGTTGGCTCCGACGTCCCTGAAAATGAGCAACGTTGTGTTTCAGTCAGGTGTTCGTTAATGGTTGGATGAGTTCGTGGAGAAACGTTTACATAATCACATCAGTTGGCACAAGATAATAATAATAATAATAATAATGGCATTTATACTGCGCATTCTCCACGCCATGAAGGTATGCTCAAAGCGCATTAACACATTATCATCCGGGATAACCCAAGCTGCCTGTTAGGCGCTAGAAGGTTATAGTCACATGACTTATCCCACCGGGTACCCATTTTTTTGCTGGTTGAACAGAGGTAACTTTGAACAATCTAACTTGCTAAAGGTGAGACCACATCATGTATCACATGTGCTTCGTTGTGGGGCAGGACTGAAGTCCTGGAAACTCTCAGGAGTCAAGCTGCCAAACACGGTCACCCATCCAAGGACTCTCCGCGCCCAACGTTGCTTAACTTCACCTGATTTGTGACCTGAGCTATATGCACAGGACCACACACCAAGATGGGTGCATATTTCACCAAACTGGCAGCCCTTCCCCCCTCACACTCTCAACCACGAGTCTCTGGCCCAGATGGGGAACACTCGCACGATAACGATGTTTCAGCGTTATATTTCAAGCCTCACCTCAGCTCCACTACGCGACACCCGTTGTAGCGCTTCCCATACTCGCTGTCGAGAAAATAGGTATCCATCTGGAAATAAAATACGTTTGAACGCCAAATGATGAAAAGGTTTATCCCTCGACGAAGCAGCTGAATATTAATGATAATGATGTCAATAATAACATGGGCTGTTATCCGATTCAAGCTGTAGAAACAATTTTTAGCGGAGAGGTAATGGGCAGTTAGCTGATTCACAAAGTATTTGTACTTTTAGCAAAGACATTAGTGAACTAGACTGTACATTCATATCTTCCGCATTCTGTTCGCAATATATAGTTAGTGAGTGAGTGAGTATGGTTTTACGCCGCTTTTAGCAATATTCCAGCAATATCACAGCGGGGGACACCAGAAATGGGCTTGACACATTGTACCCATGTGTCGAATCGAACACGGGTCTTCGGCGTGACGAGCGAACGCTTTGACCACTGGGCTACCCCACCGCTCCTCGCAATATATTGAAACACTGAACTGTTAAATATGTACAATCAGCGAAAGCTCCTTTCTATTGTCGGAAGGGAACTTATTTCTGGTTTTAACGTTATATTTATGACATTTAATGGTTTTCTTAACTGGGTTTCGATACACTAACCTTCAAAAATACATCCTAATTAAAGGAAATTATTTTTATAACAACATTTTTCTCGACGACTGTCATTATTGTAAATCACTTCTCAGGAGGACAATAAAAGAAGTGATGCATTTTATTACCACCACTTTTGATTAAGTTTTCACATTTCTCATCTGACCAATTACTCTTCTAACGGACTAGTTTAACATATACCTTCCCATATAGCCCATGATTGCCTTAGGGGTGGTGGGGTAGCCTAATGGCTAAAGCGTTGGCTCATCACGCCGAAGACCCGGCTTCGAATCCCCACATGGGTACTATGAAGCCCAATTCTGGTGTCCCCCGCCGTGATGTTGCTGGAATATTGCTAAAAGCGGCGTAAAACCAAACTCAGTCAGTCAGTCATGATTGTCTTATGTGGTAACTAACATGGTCAGGTTCGCTGAGTGTGTTCACAATTGCTTTGACCGATGCTCATTATGTCGATCACTGGAATTTCAGATTCTGTTATTTACAGATTGCCTATTTTTAGTTCGAATGTTTGTAGGTGCATAGATAGAAATAGAAATAATAATTCGCCCACTGATCCTTATATGATCGTCCATTTCAAATAATCCATCAATAAAAAAAAATTATATAAAAGAATATACCATTATGATCAAATTGTATTTTACACGTTAGGGACATGTAGAACTAATTATCTGTAAAATTAACACCGTCCATGGTGCTTCACTTTTAGACGTAAGTTAACTAAAAGAAGTCACGAAAGAACTAAAATAGGCTCATCCTGTAAAGGATTAGAAGGTTATATATGGACATATTTTCTATACATAAGTACGCACAACCAGATCTGACCGGCGTGTTACAGGCGTGTTACAGGCGTGTTACAGCCTGCAACCTTGCATGTCAGCGTTCTCTGCAGGTGACGAACTCTCATCAACGTGACCTCATGTAATTTGTAAGCACCTGATAGTGTTTCATAATTGGCAGTGTGTGCCGATCCAGGCTTCGCAGCCGCTGAAAGGCATCCTCATATAGATTTACATATTGCCTCTGTACGTCCAGCCTACGCCCGTCTCTATATTAGGAGTCTATTATTGTGTACAATCCTAGGGGTAGAGTTCCTTATGTGTGAAGTTAATGTAATTTACGACCTGCGTCGTGCGGGCGAGTGGATGTGTTGACTGTCTACTGGCTTCATGCGGCGAGGAAATTAGTATGTTTTCTGAATATGCTGTTTATGGAATGAGAGACATATCCAGCTTGATGTCATGGCACAGTCATTAATTGCATGTGCGCAAACAAACATGACACAGAGTAAGGTCTTTGTTGACAATCTGAGTTTAGTTTTTCGCCGCTTTTAGCAATATTCCAGCAACATCACGGCGGGGGACATCAGAAATGGGCTTCACACATTGTACCCATGTGGGGATTCGAACCCGGGTCTCCGGCGTGACGAGCCAACGCTTTAACCACTAGGCTACCCCACCGCCCCCTTTGTTTGTTGAAGTGCCGTAAGTGCTTGATCAGTTGTCGAGAACAAATGACGAGCTGTCACAATGCTGTTATTACATGGGTACCTCTAAAGCAAAGCGTCGTAACTGTGTTAACAAGTGATTAAAATACATTATAAATATGTGTTCTTTTAACTCAACAATGGCATCGCAATACATTTACAATAGTTTCACTGATATTGCAAAAGTGCTGTTAACGATCCTCATTTATTAACAATAAGTGTACTTTTAACTCAATGATGTTATTAGGTTTTTCATTATAGTTACAATAGCAGGAGTGTAGCTACCATTAATAAAAAGGCCGGGCTTACACATGATTGTTGCTAGAAAATTCTAAATCTTGCCCAAATACCTACTAACACGGAATCAGACAATTTTAAACTTGGTAATCCCACCATGCATCATATTGACTACAATATTCTTTGATAACAAAGCATTACTAATACAAGCACCATGTACAGTAAATATACTTAGGGAAAAAATATGGGATCACATGAAAGCACATATGTTCCTTTATTTTTTTCCAGGTTTCTTCACAAGTGTGCCATACAAAGCTTGTGAAGAAACTTGAGAAAAAAATATAGGAACACTTGTCCTTTCATGTGATCCCTTATTTTTTTCCTTCAGTATATATTATTCTTCTTTCAATGATGATTGTTTTTCCATCGACATGAATGTTTTGTTACAGTCATGATTACATGTGAATCATAACTGAAATACAAATATTTACAGTCGTCATTCAACGAAAACTCCATTCTTTACTTATCTCTGCAGCCTGTTAGGTGTAACCTACCGGGCTTACACGAAAATATTAGCTTACTGCGCGCCTGAATAGGTGTACAACGAATACGTGTCTACAGTTATCATATCATTATTGAATATTATTGACAAAACTTTTATCGTCATCAAAATAAATTTGTTAAATATCTGAATAAGGTCAAGGTCATAACCTGTGTACTGTTATCCTTAGTATTTTAGTCACAATACGGTATGTGTACTGTTAGCTCTGTAGTGGTGGTCCGATTAATTGAAATAATCGAAGATTGGTCGCAGTGCCTAAAAGACCAAGCAATCGATTGTGTTTTCTCATAATCGAACACAACCAATTTTGCATCAACAATATTTTACACAAGATTGGTTTTTGTCTGTGTCATTAAATTAACATTTCATAAGCACTACAAACTCGTTCCAAGTCATGGTTGAATTTATCTTAAAGAATCCAGGAAATCTGTGTTCCTAACATACTAATCATCCTTTAAATATGTGACATTTGCCAATGGATTTTGTGCAATTTGCAAAAGACCCAAAGTACTACATGTGTTTTTCTTTATTTTTTTGTGTGTGCATTAACAAAGATAACAGTTACATTTGATAAATGACGCAAACCAATTATTTTCGATGATTGTAATGAACCAATCATCAATTATGAGATTTCAACCAATTCCCAACACTATAGCTCAGTAGTATCGAATCAGTGTTCTTAACAATCATAAGACTGTTGCATTACTAACAACCAACAAACAACCAATCAACAAACAACCAATCAACAAACAACCCGAGTGTATACACCCACATGGTTATCACGTGTATGAAATGCCATACCTCCTCACAGAACGGCTCTGCTATCCGTCTGAATGCCGGGGAGGTGTTGTTGGACATGGTGGGGGAGTAGGTCTCGTTCAGGATGCGGACGGAACCGTCTGCTAGAGTTCGATCTGAAGACAAACAGAAGTGCATTCAGTGTTGAGATAAAGGGAAATTGGTTAATCGGGTAAAAATTCGAACCCCGGACCAAGAAGTGTATTGGAACACTTGCACATTGATGCCACTGTGCTAAAAGTACGCGTAGTTGATTTAGTTGATCAGTGATTGATGAATTGATCGACGGACAGAATCGATAAACAGGTTCCGCTGGATATACATGTATGATGTTAACGCATGACGGTCAAATAATTATTGAGACTCTAAGGGATAAGGGAACATGTCTACCTTTACGCAAAGATGAGGATTCTACTGTATGTCAGTTAAAGCTAGAAGGCTCATATAATTGTCGGTTCATTCCAGCAAGAAGGTCATTTCATTCTCGTTCAGTTACAGCAAGTATACGCATTACACCGTCTGTCAGTTACAGCAAGCAGCTCATTTCACCGTCTGTCAGTTACAGCAAGCAGATCATTTCACTGTCAGTCAGTTACAGCAAGCAACTCATTTCACCATCTGTCAGTTACAGCAAGCAGCTCATTTCACTGTCAGTCAGTTACAGCAAGCAACTCATTTCACCATCAGTCAGTTACAACAAGCAGCTCATTCACCGTCTGTCAGTTACATTAAGCAGCTCATTTCACTGTCAGTCAGTTACAGCAAGCAACTCATTTCACCGTCTGTCAGTTACAACAAGCAGCTCATTTCACCGTCTGTCAGTTACAGCAAGCAGCTCATTTGACCGACTGTCAGTTACAGCAAGCAGCTCATTTCACCGTCTGTCAGTTACAGCAAGCAGCACATTTCATTGTCTGTCAGTTAGAACAAGCAGCTCATTTCATTGTCTGTCAGTTACAGCAAGCAGCTCATTTCATTGTGTGTCAGTTACAATAAAGCAGCTCATTTCACCGTCAGTCAGTTACAGCAAGCAGCTCATTTCACCGTCTGTCAGTTACACAAAGCAGCTCATTTCACTGTCTGTCAGTTCCAACAAGCAGCTCATTTCACCGACT